ATATGATAACTCATATTTAATTCATAAAAGAAATAAAGTTCAAAGTTCAAACTCTCCCTACAAGTTAGGGTAACACTCTTATCTCAGTACTCAATAGAGCTTATTAAACTGTATATTGAGGGAAAAAATTGAATTTTATATCATCTCTCTATATAGTGGGATGCTCTTAAGCTAATCCAATATACTTTCTGATGCTATGGATTCACCATAGCCATTAGACCCCTTTAGCTAGGTTCCTTTCTAGAGTAAGTGTGATAAAAGCAGGCAATACTAGTTCTTTCCTACTAGTAAGGTACAAAATATCACACAAGGTGTACTGGGCCTAATGCTCCTGATGTTAAGTAATGAAGATTAGACAAAGTGGATACATAAATTTTTTTTACAGCACTATTTTTTCTTCGGACTTTCTTTCATAGTCAAGAATCAAATCCAGTATTACAGGGGAGTTCGTAAATAAGTACATTCAAATCATGTCATATATATGTATTTTTATACACTTTATTCTCTATCTACGTGCAAATAAATCAACTTTAGTCCAACTGTTTTAATGCTAGAAAACAGGCTTCAAACAACTCTAGTTGAAAATGAACTAGGGAAGAGTTAATCACACATGGAACTCTTTGCCACCAACTCTCATCTTGCTTCCAACAAGTTGTCGAAGTATCAATAATCTAAATTTATAATATAACATTTGGATATGCATTCTCTATGAACTTGTGGACTTTAAATTGTTCTAGTGATAGAAGTGATAGTTACTGTCTTTCCAATATCCATTCACTCAATTCTTCAAGGTATACATTATCGCAATTTTTTTGGTTTAACGATATGGGTTCCCGGAGGGGTGTCAAAATTGAGCCCAATTATAGGTAACCACATAGACTATTAAGGGTTGGGCTCGAGGAATTTGAATTGAGTTCAATCTCAACTCATTCAAGCCTTAACCCATTTTAAGAGAATCCTCAATTGAGTTCAATTTGATCTCCAATTTCATTTATTTGCATTGATGTGATGTATGTTCCTATATTGAAGGTATGGATTACGATCTATGTTATATCTTTTACGATTTATCTATCAATTAGTAACTTCCTTTTTAAAAAATTCTTTGAATTGAAATTCAAATTACGGTTATAAAACATAAATAACTATATATATATACACACACACACACATTTTTGAAACGGGTAGATTGTATTCCTCAGCATTATGGGCTATGCTGGTCACCTCCAAAAAGTATTAACAAAGAAGAGAAAAAAAAAGAAACAGAAATATTCTTACAAAGAACCTACAAAATCAACTAATTGGATTTCCTCTTCTATATTTTGTTCTTTATACCAAAAACCTAAGTAAGTAATTTCTTTCCATTAAATCTTCTGTATTGAGCATTCTTTCCCTTAAAAAATCTTCAATTCCTTTCCTTTCAAAAATTCCACCAGATACGCGCAGGTACTGCCCTCCACCACTTCTTTCGACTCTTGCTGCCCTTAAAGCTTAAATCTTTAGAAAATGTTCAAGAAATTGCATTTTCAAATACTAAAATTTCTCAAAGATCAAAACTTTATTATAAATTTTTGAAAACCCTAAAGAGAAATTTGGAAATTCTTCGCGAAGTTTCGTGGAAATGGGAGGAGAAAATTAGCAGAAAGAGCCTCCAAATTATCACCGGTAACAAGTGTTGGAAATTTATATAGAATTCTGCTGTGTGTTCTGGCATACACCAGTTTAGGCTAGCTAAATTGAAGAATAAAGCCCATACTTGCATTGGTACTTTGCAATGCAATAATATGTGTTTGTTGGTTTCCAGTGCCTTTTTGCATAGTAACCATCCAGAGGCTATGTTGATGCCCCTTTTCTGTAATGCTTTATGCGTCAAACAGGCTCTCCTAGCTACCAGCCAGACAAAACACTTCACTTAGTGGGAGCCACACTCTTCCAAACAGCACTCCATGGCCCTGTTTTCCTTCCTCCAGTTACTGATAGACCCCACTTGTACAATCTGTTGACAGAGAATCTTCCATCTGGATGTTGTTTCCATAATAGACTGTCTGTTTCCAAATTAGTGCCTGGAAAGCCTTCGATCATATTCAGTAGTTCAATTACCCCTTATATCTCCCAATCATTTAACAACCTTCTATATACCAAATTCCACCCGTGTTGAGACCACATCTCACTGATTTTGCTATCCGGATGCATACTATCCGGATGCATACTGATAAGAATAAAGTCCAAATTTCAGGAAACAAACTTTGAAGAGATCCTTGACCAATCCAGTCTTCTTTCCAAAATAAAACCTTACCCCCCCTCCCAACTTTAACTTTTGTATTAGTTTTTGATAGTCCTCCAGACTCCCACTCCATAAGTGGTACTTCATCTGAACATTTTTCCCCTTCTTGGCCGAATTTGTGTTGTATTACCTCTTTCCATAGTGCATGCTCTTCTTGGTTGTACCTCCCTAGCCACTTGCTTAGCAGACTTTTGTTATGTAACATGAGCTTCCTTACTCCCAGACCCCGATAATTCCTCCCTTGTTGACCTTCTGCCCGTTTTACTAAATTGAAACTGCTCTCAATTTTATTTCCTCGCCAGAGGAAATTCCTTCTCGAAGCATCTAGAATTTTGACTACCTCACCAGGTATAGGATAGGGAAAAGGGACATTACATAAGTTGGTCAGCAATCTAGCACAGAATTTATTAAAGTGACTACCTCCCATTGAAAGATATTGAGACTTCCACAGTGCCAACTTCCTCTCAGTCTTCTCAATAATTCCATCCCAAACAGTAATGGCTTTTTGGTTTGCCCCTATTGGCATGCCTAGATAGACTATTGGTAGCTTCTCTACCTTGCACCTCAAGATGTTTGCTAGTGTTTGAATTTGTTGAACTTCTTTTATCTTTTACAAGAAGGATACTGCTTTTTCTCCAGTTAACCTTGAGTCAGAACAAGCCCCCAAAACTACCAAAATCACTCTTAAATAACATAATTGTTCCTGGTTTGCTTCACAAAACACTTATATCATTAACATACAATAAATGTTTCAACTCCATACTCTTATTTGCCCGATTCTTACATTGAAGCCTCTGATCCAATTATTTTGCAGCGCTTTTCTCATTAAACTGTCAAATCCCTCCATAGCTCTAATAAAAAGCAATGCAGATAGAGGGGTCCCCCTGTCTAAGTCCTCTTTTGGCTGGAAAAAAACCTACGGGTTTTCCATTAGTAAGGATGGAGAAGCTGGTGGTTGTTTTGATACAAAAGTCTATCCAACCGAGCCATCTATTTCCAAACCCCATTTGTCTAAGAGTCTTTGATCAGGAACTTTCAATTTAAATGGTCATAAGCTTTCTCAATACTCAACTTGCAAATAACCCCCGGTATATCTCCTCTAATTCTAGTGTCAATACACTCACTAGCAATGAAAGCGGCATCCATTATCTGTCTGCCTTTAATAAAGGCCATCTGGTGTTTGTTCACAAGTATGCTTATCACCCTCTTCATTTTTTTAGAACCTTGGCTATGATTTTGTACACCCTTGTGATCAAACTAATTGGTCTAAATCTCTAGATCATTTGCCCCCACCTTCTTTGGAATCAAAGCTACAAATGTAGCTTTTAAATTTTTTTTCAAATTTCTGATGAGTGTGGAAATTGTGGAAGGTTAACATTAAGTCCTCATTTATAAAAATAGAAATCCACAATGTACCTCTTAATCTCCATAGAGTCAGATGACAGTACCCCATCGATCATCAAAGAATCTATAGTGTTGATTCTCTTACGCACAGTGGCCATTCTGTGGAAGTACTTTGTGTTCTTGTCACCCTCTTTGATCCTCTGAATTCTGGATCTCTGTCTCCAATAGATTTCTTTATTTCTAACCGTTTCTTCATACTCCATTGCCCATTGTGCTTTCATCATTAACTCATCATTAGTAAGAGGTCTGCCTCTTGTATGATTTCCGAACTTCCAATTTGCTTTAGAAGTTGATCCTTTCTAGGCCTACAATTACTTTTATTCTCCTTGCTCCATTCTTTGAGTTTTACTTTCAAAAGACTCAATTTTGTTGCTAACTTAAAATCTGCTCTTCTTGTCACATTAAAAGAATTCCACCAGTCTTTTACTTTTGCATTTGAACTCCTCCACATTCAGCCACCATTTTTACAAACTTGAAATATGATCTCTTGAAGACCTCATTCCATATGACAACAAAATTGGAATAGTGTCAGAACCCAGACTAGGCAAGAACTCTATCTGATTTGATTAAACAATTCATCTCAACGAAATGAATACATGAATCTGTCTATCCTTTATGCATTTCTATGATTTGACCCTCCTTTCCAAGTGTAAGATCCCCAAATAAAGGGGGGTCTACCATCTGTAGTTCATTGATACAACTAGACAATATATTAAATTATTGAGATTAACGAGGTCAAATTGAGCGGGTCAAGACCCAACCTGTTTTTAAGCCCATTTGAACCCAACCCATTTGAGCCCAAAGTAAACTCGGGCTCATGTGAAGCCCCTAGGTTCCCATTATCTTTTTCTTGGCAGCTTTGAAACACCCACTTCACTATAAGCTCTGAACCGGCATTGCTGTCCTTTTATTTTTACTTCAGTTTGTTTGTTTCCTTTCAAATTTGTAGATTCTGGTGTGTCCAAACCCTTCCTTTTAGTTAAAGCATCTAATGAAATAGATGGGCCTTTTACATGGGGTATTAGTGTTATAGCACAGCTATGCAAGTGACTCTGGTGTCAAATGCTTCTCTAATTTGTATTTAACTCCTCAACCTATATTTTGAAAGAAAAGCCGTGTTCCCCGAATTGTATGTTTATTGTGATGCACCATTTAAATTTTTCTGTGTTACACAGTTTTAAACTTGATTGTTTGAAACAGAGAGAATTTTAATTCAAGCTTCTTGTATATGTTTGATATATCAGTGTTATCTTTTATTATTTTCAAGCCACCACTTTTTAATTATTACTCATCAATATACTTACTTCTTTAATAGGACGCGTACGTGCTTTGCAAAGTATTTAAGAAAAGCGGACCAGGTCCCAAAAATGGAGCGCAGTATGGAGCACCATTTAAGGAGGAAGATTGGGAAGATAATGAGACACCTGCTGAACATAATCAATCCAGTATTCCTTCTTTACCTCTACCTGACAATGAAACCCGCTCAATTGTGACCCAGCCTTACATACATGAGATGCCTGTTGAACCTAATTCATATGGTGCAACTTCTGTACCTGCAATGCCTGACAACCAAAGCTGCTCTGTCATTACCACCATGGTTGACCCAGGAAACAAATATCTTTGGCATTTAACTGAACCAGGTCCATCTTCTGCTGAGCTATACAGTAAGAAGATGCCTCAGGAAGAGGATGATTACATGATTCAGCTCTTTGACAATTTCATTGAAGATCCTGCTATATTGTTTGCTGGAAATGAGGATAATCTGGTGAGTATTCTCCGTTTGTTTATTGAGCTCATTGACATAATTATTAGTAACGTTTAGTTGCACCATGCATGTTTATTAGTGGTATTTGTCAATCTCTTTGGTTAATAGTTTCCTTTTTCTTTAAAAATGTTACTAGTGTAAAAAAAACAATAATTTCCTTTTTCTTTATTCTATATTTTTTAGTGCTGGAGTAAGAAATAGTAAACATGTATTCTGAGCATGACTTTCACATTATGCATATTTGAAAAGTCCAAGTCTAATCACGGCAGTTTTGATCAGTGTTTTGGACGGCGAGAAGCGACAAAAGGCGATAAGGGCCTGCCTCGCCACGCGGCGAGGCACTTTCCTTTTTGAATCACGGCACCAATCAATACAAAAAATTAAAAATATTTAATTGCATATATAAATATCCAAAATCTTAATAGTAATAACACGTATTAACAAATATTCAATTCAAAAACCAATAGTAGATACTAAAAAGTCTAAAACTTTAAAGACCAAATAATTCAAAATATAATACTAGAACTTTAAAAGTCTATTCTTCTTCAAAACTATCCAACTCTTGAAGATCAACATCCTCTACATCATTATATTGCTCTTCATCTTCTTCCTCGTATTCTTCATCAATTAGTGTACGAGTCCTACTTGAAGATGAACTTGTAGATGTAGTTTCTACTCCTTCGCTTGTCAAGTGCTCTTGATCTTGAAGAAAGTCCCCTAAGATGATAGATACTCTCATCCGCTCCCATTGTCGTAGCAACACTGCCCCAAGTAAGAAGATCATCCTCATATACTAGTTCTATCATCTTGATCTTTGGGGCATCCAACTAACCATTCGTTGGATAATCAATGTTATTCGAGCGAATTGGATCAATTCACGAGCATGCAAAGGCTGATGGAGTTGGTCTAACCACCCTGCATCAATAATTTCAAACACTTTCTCATATTGCTTCTTAACTCCACAAAAACCATGTGCAATAGCTTCTTTGGCTCTATCCATTGCTTCATAAACATAACCCATTGGCGGTTTTTTCTCCCGATCCGCCAAACAAAGCACTTTTGTCAAAGGGCCACAAATTGCAAGTGTGAGAAATATTGGAGAAAAATATTATTGAATTGCTCATCTAAATTGTTACATGAAGACCCTATTTATAGACACTACATTGAAAACCTTTTCCAACTAGAATTCCTATTCTAATTCCTATTCTAAGTAAGAAATACTTATTCCTATTCTAACACTCCCCCTCAAGCTGATGCATACAAATGATATGCACCTAGCTTGTTACAAATGTAATTAATACGAGGACATGTGAGAGACTTGGTGAACATATCTGCAAGTTGATCATTTGACTTCACAAATTTTTGTAACAATATCTCCTGAGAGTATCTTTTCTTTGACAAAGTGACAATCAATCTCAATGTGCTTAGTCCTTTCATGAAACACTAGATTTGATGCGATATGAAGAGCCGCTTGATTATCATACACAAGTTCCATCTGATCAATTTTGCCAAATTTTAGTACTCCCAGTAACTGTTTGAGCCAAACTAACTCTCAAGTTGTTGTAGCCATTGCTCGATATTCTGATTCTGCACTAGATCGAGCAACCACATTTTGTTTCTTACTCTTCCATGACACCAAATTACCTCCAACTAAAACATAATATCCGGATGTCGAACGTCTATCAGAGGGTGATCCTATCCAATCAGCGTTTGTATATCCACTGATATGCTCATGACCTTGATCCTCAAAGAGTATTCCTTTGCCGGGGGTTGACTTTCTATATCGAAGAATACGAACAATTGCTTCCTAATGACTATCACAAGGGGAAGTCATAAACTGACTTACAACACTCACGGGAAAAGAGATGTCTGGTCTAGTCACTGTGAGATAATTCAACTTTTCAACAAGTCGTTTATACCTTTCAAGATTACTAAGTGGCTCCCCCTCTCCTGGAAGAAGTTTAACATTCAGATCCATCAGAGTGTCAATAGGTCTACATCCCATCATTCTGTCTCCTCAAGAATGTCTAAGGCATACTTGCTTTGAGAGATAACAATGCTTGATCTAGACTGAGCAACCTCAATACCTAGAAATACTTCAATCTGCCAAGGTCTTTAGTCTGAAAGTGCTTAAAAAGATGTTGCTTTAAATCGGGCATACCATCTTGATCATTATCGGTGATAACAATATCATCAACATAAACAACCAAATAGATACATCGACCTGGTGCAGAATGTCGATAAAACACAGAGTGATCAGCTCCACTAGGAGTCATGCCAAACTCCTGAATTGTTGTGCTGAACTTCCCAAACCTAGCTCGAGGAGACTGTTTCAGACCATAGAGTGACCTACGCAATAGACAGACAAGGCTACTAGACTCCCCCTGAGCAACAAAACCAGGTGGTTGTTCCATATAGACTTCTTTCTCAAGATCACCATGCAGAAAAAACATTCTTTATGTCCAACTGATAAAGAGGCCAATGACGAACGACAACCATAGATAGAAAAAGACGAACATATGCTATTTTAGCCACAGGTTCGAAAGTGTCACTATAATCTAGCCCAAATATTTGAGTATACCCTTTAGCGACAAGGCGAGCCTTAAGTCGATCAACTTGACCATCTGGACCAATTTTGATTGCATAAACCCAACGACAACCAACAGTAGATTTACCTACAGGAAGGGAGACAAGCTCCCAAGTACCACTCTTATGTAAAACAAACATCTCATCAACCATAGCCTGCCTCCATCTAGAATGAGAAAGTGCTTCACCTGTAGTCTTAGGAATGGAAACAGAGGACAAAGACGACACAAACATAATGGGGTGATGATAGACGATGATAACTTAAGAAGGTATAATGCGGGTTAGTATTTCGAGTAGATCGTATACCTTTTTGAAGTGCAAGCGGTGGGCTAGGTAGAGGCAAGTTCGCAGTAAGAGCAGGCTCTGGCGCATGACATGAATCATCTGGGACTAGGGTTGGACGTGGACAACGATGATAAGTTAGTAGTGGTGGCACTGCAACTGGAGATGTAGACGTAACTGTAGATCCCTCAAAGGTTGGCACAGGTAAAACTTGAGGTATGGGTAAGACCATAGAGATATCAGTATGATCAGAAGATGTATAGTAAGGCTGAGACTTAGAAAATGTAACATCAGCAGACATAATGTATCGATGAAGATCATGTGAGTAACAACGATACCCTTTTTGAACTCTAGAGTAACCAAGAAAGACACATTTGAGGGCACGAGGAGCTAATTTATCTTTCCCTGGGGCTAAATTATGAACAAAGCATGTGCTCCCAAAGACACGAGAGGGAATAGGATATAGATGTGACTGAGGAAACTGTATGGAATGTGGAACTTGATTCTGAATAGATGAAGAGGGCATTCTGTTAATTAAATAACAAGCTGAAAGGACTGCATCGCCCCAATAACGCAGGGAACATGTGATTTAATGAGTAGAGTGCGAGCAGTCATTCTTTCTTTCTGCGACACAATTTTGTTGAGGAGTGTGTGGTGGTGAATGATTCCGTGGTGAGACATAAATTGCTGAAATTGGGATGATAAGTATTCTAAGGTATTATCACTACGGAAAGTACGAATAGAAACACTAAATTGATTTTGTATTTCAGCAAATAAACTTTTGAAAATAGAAAATAACTCGGAACGATTTTTCATTAAAAACCCTAAGTACATCTTGAATAATCATCAATGAAATTAACAAAATAACGAAATCCTAAGGTGGAACTGACTCTACTAGGACCCCAAATATCAGAATGAACTAATAAAAAAATAGACTCTGAACGACCCTCAGTACTACGAGAAAACGTAGCACGAGTGTGTTTCCCAAGTTAACACGACTCACAATCTAATGTAGATAAACTAGACAAACTAGGCACCATCTTTTGCAGTTTGGATAAACTCGGATGTCCCAGATGTTTGAATTAGATCTGGGGAATCTGTAATGGAGCATGCTGTCAAGGAATTTGAAGAGGTAAGATAGTAAAGGCCTTGTGTTTCATGTCCAGTTCCAATCTTCGGTCCCATACTGCAGTCCTGTATGAGAAAAAAATCATCGAAAAAAGTTATGCTACAATGTAGGGATTTCGTTAAATGACTAATAGATACTAGATTAAAAGGAGAACTAGGAACATAAAGAACAGAGTCTAGGGTGACAAAAGATAGGGGTTTGGCTTTTACAACCCTTTTTGGTTTTATCTGGATCTCATTGGCTAAAGTAATAGCTGGAAGAGATTGCGAATAAACAATATCGGATAAAAGTGATTTATTACCAGAAATATGATCAGAAGCCTCAGAGTCCACGACCCATGTTCCAACAGTACTAGATTGCAACACACAAGCAAAAGAATTACCTGTGACAGACACATCAGGTTGTGCAACCGAAACTACTTGTGGAGACGTTTGCTTATTTGCACGATATTGAAGGAACTTATCATATTCTATCTGAGCATTATTGGATGGTTGATTAGTTGAGCACCATATGCTATTGGTGGAGATGACTGTTTACTTGCGCGATTTCGAAGGAACTCATTATATTCCTTTAGAACAAGAGGATCATAACTGGGTGGTGGACTATGCAAAATATGACATATGTCATGAGTGTGTCCAGACTTATGACAATTACTACACTTGGATCGAGGTTTCCCAAAACGTCCTCCCCCTCGCCGATTCTCCGTAGATTGATATGTATGCTTTTCAAAGGTTTGAGATGCGAGAATAGAGGAGTCAACAGTGGGTGATAAAATAACTTTGTGACTAGGAGGTGCCGCAAAACGAAGGAGGCCATTGAATAATTCATCGATTGTAGGAACTGTAGAGCTAGCTAAAATCTGATCACGCACAGAGTCATTATCAGGAGGAAGTCCAGCAAGAGTAAGAACTAGAAACAATGTTTGTCTATGTTCTTGTTGTTTTTCCACATCCGTAGTTACTGGCATCAACGTGTCGCATTCCTCCATGACTGCCTGTACCTGTCCCAAGTAAGTAGACATATCGGATTCTTGTTTCTTTAAGTTGGTCAATCAAGATATCACATCATAAAATCAAGAGATGAACTAATAAATATCGGTTAAAACTTACGTGCAATCCGGTCGAGGTATGGAGAGAGACACAGTCTCAGTCGTGGTCGTGAAGAGAGAAGAAGCAAAAGAAGAGTCGTGAAAGAAAAATTAAGTTATATTGTATATTTCAATTTTTTTTTAAAAAAAACCTAATTTTTTTTTACAAAAAACACTAATTGTCGTTTTTTTATAAAAAGCGCGCTTTATTGCGCTTTTGCCTTAGTGTCGCTTCTCGCTTCTTTATCTGAAGCGAGCGCCTTTTTCAGATCGCATCGCATCAGGAGAAAGAAGCGCACTGGTGTCGCCTCGCTTTGAAGCCCGCTTTTTTGCGCTTTTCACAACACTGGGTGGAAGTAGTGGAGGTGCACTAAAGCTGGATCGGACTCCACTGTCAATAAAAAATAAAAATAAGATCGTTGTATCATCCTAAAATTTGCAAGTGACTTTTTAGTAGCTTGCACTTTGCTTAATGACAAAACAAACTTTCTTGCTTTTATATTATAGATTACTTAATAATACTAAAAAGTGGATAATGTAATAAGTTCAATTACAAAAAGGTTATACTCAAGGGTTTGACTTAATGGTCAATAACGTGGATGAGGTCTCAAGTTCAATTTATAAAGACAAAACACTAGGTGATTTTTAACGATTTGTTCTCGCTTTGGTGAACTGAGTTACCTGATACTTGGTGGGAGATGGAAGGTATCTGCGAAATTAATCGAGATGTGTGAAAGCTAGTCTGTACAATAAGTTTATGAAAAAAAGAACAAAAAGGCTGCTATATGGCTCGTTGCCTTGTATTTTGGAGAAATATTTTGTTATTTGACTTTTGTTACTGAGAAATAAATGACAGTATTATATTTGAAAATGGAAATGGAAGTCCAAACATTGTGACAATCAGAGTTTTGGACGGCGAGAGGTGACAAAAGGCGACAAGGGCCTGCCTCGCCACGCGCCACTCGCCTTTTTGAATCGAGGCGCCAATTAATACCAAAAGTTAAAAATATTTAATTGCTCATATAAATATTCAAAATTTCAATAGCAATAACATATATTAGCAAATACTATTATAATTACTATAGAAGAATTAATTTTTTTCAAAAAAATAATGGACAACACAGTGAAAGCAGTAAGCACAGTCAGCAACATTTTACAGTAAACAAAGAAAGCAGAGGGAAAAAACAGAGAAGTGAAGAAAACAGAGGAAAAAAAAGAGTAGTGGAGGCAGCGAGCAATGAAGAGTGAAGACAGCAAGCACTTCAGAATTTAAGATTCACTTCACAAGAAATTGTACAGAAGAAAATAAGAGAAGAAGAGGACTGAAGAGAAGAAACGAAGAAATGAAGAGAAGAAGAAAGAAAAGGGGCCATGCCTTTCGTGCGAGTCCACTGAAGGAGAAGAAGAGATCACAGGGTTGATGAGAAGAAACGCGAGTCGTGACTGACTGGAAATATGAAAAACCCCTAATTTTGACTAATATTATTAAGTCAAGACCTTTTTAAATATTTTTAAATAAAAGGCGGCGCCATTCAGGTCGCCATTATGTCGCCTCACGTCGCCTCACATCGCCTAATTGATCTCGCCACGCCTCACTGAGGAATGGCGTTACATGGTCGCCTCGCCATAGCGCCTTTGGCGAATGGCGAGCTCCATTAAGAACACTGGTGACAATCATAGCAAAAATTTCAAATTTGTTGAATGAGTAACTTCGAAAGCAGACCAGCACACTTAACTCGGAGCTGATGGAAGCAAGTTAATGTTGCTTGAAGCTGGTAATACAAAAATTTAACACATACAATAAAGAGAATAAGGTTGCTGACAACTTGGCAAGCATGATAGTTGCAATCTTGATTTGTTCAATAATTTTATATTATATTTTATTGCACCATCGTATGCTTTATAACTTTTTCCAGTGATTGTAAAAGGAATATGTTCCTACAAAGACCAAGGTATCTAAATAGCCTTTAGAAGTATATTATAATTTCTTTTTTACTAAGATAGAAAAAGAGAAGTAAGACGTCAGCTGAATTCTATTTAGGTGAAATGATCTAATATGATCCAAAAGTTGGATCACAGTACTGTCTGCGCATTGCACTGGTTCCAATACTTGTATAATTATACTCTAGGTACTATGTATTTGTTCTTCTTTTTTATTTTTTACCTGTGAAACTGTTGAGTTGCAAGATTCTGAAAAATGGAACTTGGACTTGTTTCATATGTCTCTGTCAACAATGTTCCACTCCTGTTTGTAACAACTGCCTCTAGAATCCCTGAAAATTCACGTCAGTTCTATATGTTTTGATCAGCCATATTAAGATTTTTTTTTTTTTAATGTCTGCAGGGTACTAACGATATGAATGTTGAAGTTGCATCTTTCATTACTGGGAATGTTATGCACCACAATCTTGGAAACCTTGACAACTGTGTAGAACTAGATCAAACAACATTTGATCTTTCCGTATTCCAGGGAACTGACTATAGTCATGACTCCATATTTTTCCAAGATGTTCCCTATTTGGAGCTCAACGATCTTAAAATCCCTCTGAGTCACTCTGCTGAAGCCATTGAAACGGCGCCAGTAATGATGGGTAATTTCTGTGTACCACATAGTTCTGATGTTGACCTGCGACAGTTCTGTTTTGGAAGCAATTCTTCAGCCAGAAGTCAGCAAGTTGCAGGCCAAAATCAGCTCCATGTGCTCCCTGAATATCACAACCAGCAAGTTATTGGGTCTTTTTGGTAGGGAAAGTTTCTTCTATGTTAATTTTGTCCTTTATTTCGTGTCTACATAAAGGGTGTGTGGGTTGAATTAAAAGTTGGTCAAACCTACTTTTAAGTCAGTTTTTGACTTTTAGAAGTGTTTGACAAATATAAAAATAACTTAAAATAAGTTAGGAAGTGTTTGACAAAGTTAAAAATAACTTAAAATACGTTTTACATGACTTAAAATCAGTTAAAAACCAAAAGTAGGTCCCCCACCCACCCACCCACCCACCACCACCAACACCACTTTTATTTTTTGACTTAAAAGTCATTTAAGTTTGACTTTTTATTTTTTGATTTGGAAGTTACTTTTTTTCAGCCAATCCAAACAGGCTCTTAATGGGTTTGTGAATGAATATGCAGGTAAATGCTGATGCAGCTAATGTGAATCAGGCATACAATGCTCCATACACGACTGATTTTAGTTCTCACTAGCAGCCAGAGGGCAGTACATACACTGCTCAAAACCCGGAAAGAGGTAGATCTTACCATTTCTGATGACAGTTCGTGTTCCAGCAGTCATGTACTATTCATTTGTCGTGCTAGTGTGAATGCAGACAATGAGTATGAGATACTGAAAATTCTTTGTCTACAATGTTCATTTTTTCAAATCGGAGAATTCAGTGTCGGACATAAATAAGTTCCATTTAATCTGGTGTACTTTGGACATCTATGGCCAGAGTAGCTACCTATCACTCATGACTGAAATGACCATGCTTAGAAAACAGTCAAGTTACTCCGTATTGTTGTCTTTAGGCGGTTTGATCGACCATGAGTAGAGCAGTATTTGTGATGAGGTTGCATTAGCCTCTAATATATGATTGGTGGAGACTGCAGTACTTGCTGCAGTCTTTGATATGTGCTATATTGCTCTGTGTGATATCATTTTTTCTTAATTTTTTTGTCCTCTTGTCCTCAGATGAGCAGCAAAGAGAGTTTTTCTCTTGCATGTTTGCTCATTCTTCTTCAGATTCTTTTTGTGCTGGCTTCTCCATACATGCCAAGGCTGAGGTGATTCTTTGGGTTGATGGATGCACTGACGACGCCTTGTTAGCTGTTTTTGTAGATTCTAGTACTGGTCTTACCTGCCAGTCGGCTGTGAATAAGTCAGATAAGGAAGTGTGTAGATATTGCTATGACTTCACAACTTCCTTCTGCGTTGCTATTAGTTTAGCTTTCTTTTTTGTTTCTCACTTGAAATTTGTTGGACAATTCCTTTTTGGAGTTGACTTTAGCAGTACATCCTTTTTATTGATACAGCTTCAAATAAACTTTAGTGTTAAATTATCTTGGTTTTAGTAAGTTGGTTTTGAAGCGTGCTCCTGCTTTAAAGATGTATAGTTCAGTGTGCTCAAGTCAACCTTCTTATTCTTTTAGAATCTGTGCATGCTTAGTTTAGTTAACTGAGTTTGGCTTTTTTTTTTCATTTTCCCTCTGTGCTAAGGGGATTTCTGATGCGTATACTCCTGCTAACAACAAGAAGAAAATGGAAAAGGGAAGAGAAAAAGGGAAAAACTAGCTAGTAATCCAAAGTTGGATGATTTCAATATCGTTGACGAGTACAAGTTACCTGAAAAGTTGTGTCATTAAATGTTTCAGGTAATTTGTAGCAAGGTTTAAGAAGAGAGATATGGAAAGTTGGATGTATGTACACTTGGTGGTGCTAAAACTAATTTATAGGCTAGAGAGCCAATCTTTTGTAACACTTGTGTGTAGGACTGTATTTTCAAGTATAGCAATCACCTGCAGAAAATACCTTATCAGATTTGTGGTTGTTAGCTAAGGAGACCATTCTTTATTGGGCATTAGTTAGATGGAACTTCATTAGTTCAGTTTTCAGTTCTTTAGTTAGCAAGCTTTCATTGACCTGTTCATCATCAACACTACCAGGTAAATATGATAGATGAAATGGGAGGAGGCTGTCCATATAGCGCCTCATATGGAGAAGTCAGTATTACAGAGTGATGAGTGTTGTTGACAACCATTCAGCTAGTAGCAAGAAAATGATATCAGTCTTTGAGGCAAATCAATATAATATCTTAAATAGGTCTTCAAGATCCTATTAAGCACCTCAGTTTGTCTATCTGATTGAGAATGGTATGTTGTTCAAGTTCTCAGGGTAGCAGATAACAATTCCTGTCAAATCTTACTCACAAACATAGGGTCCCTATCACACATAATGGTTTTAGACATTATATGCAACTTGTAGATGTTGTCCAAGAATAATTGAGCAATATTAGCAGCTGAATATGGGTGTGATACCCTAATAAAATAAGCATACTTTGTGAATCTGTCTACCACCATCCATATCACTGTTTTTTCCCTTTTGACATGGATAATTATGAAGTTCATAGTCCAAGATCTATTAAGGATTGCCAAGGGCTGTGGCAACCTTAGATAAGGAGAAGAATCATACTTGCTCCTCTGACATTCTTCACTCTTTTTAACATAAGTAGCTATGTCATCTTTCAACCCTTTCCAATAGAATAATCAAGATGCCCTCATGTTGGTCAGTAGGTGTTTTTGATTTTAGAATGCCCTCCACTAAGTTGATTATGTCCAATTTGTAATATTTCCTTCTTAAGTTCAACATCCTAACCAATCACCAACCTATCATTTCTTTGGAACTGTCGAGTGAAGAAGGTATATTGGTGGTGCTCACCCCCTTGAGACTCTTCTCTATAGATTTATACAAGGCTTCACCGGTAGTGCTCACATGAACGGCAGATACTTTACCCATAGGTAGTCTAGACAGTGACTCTGCAACATTATTTTCCTTTGCCTTTTTATATTCAATATCAAAGTTAAACTGCATTATTGAAAAGCAGCAGTACTTTTTCTGCAAATTAGTTGAGGATTTGTTGATTGTCCAATAGATCTGGATGAATCACTTGTAATACCCACATAGTCCCAAAATACCCCTTTATCTGTGGAATTGGCTAATCTTGCACTGTTGAGATTTTCTTTTAGGATCAATGGCCACACTTTCAGTGGAAATGAAGTGTCCTAAATACTCAATAATATCACAAGCAAATGTTTCTTAAATACTATATTCTTAGACTTCCTAATGTGAAGAGCTAATGTTTCTTTTAACATCTCAAAGATGAACCTCAAATGATGCATGCGTTATTCCATATTCTTGCTAAAAATTAATACAGCATCAAAAATTCAACAATAAACTTCCTGAAGCGTTATTGAAATATATGGTTCATCAACATTTCCTTAAAGCTAGATTTAATATTAGTAAGGCCCAAAGGCATTACTAAATATTCATAATGGTCAACATGAGTTTTATAGGTAGTTTTGTCAACATCACTACATCAGTAGTGTGCACTCTAATTTGGTGAATACCCAGATCTTAGGTCCAATTTAGAGTACACCCTGGACCCACCCAATTTCTCCAATATCATTTATCATTGGGATTGGCACTCCTCCTTGATGATAGCCTTGTTCAAAGCTTCACAATCAACACAAAGTGTGGAGGAGCCATCCATCTTTTCCACTAAAACAGTTGGAGATGCATATGGCTGCACTATCCCTTGATCTCACATCTCCTACATCAATTCATCAATGATAACCTTTTGTGAAAAGGGTTACCTATAAGATCTCATGTTCACAGGATTACTACTATTTCTCAAGGAATTTTGTAGTCAAATTGGTCCCTTTATGGTATAATCATTTTGGATCAGCAAACAACTCAACTAACTCCTGAATTAGATTCACAAATGCAGGTTCAGACGCTACATTACGCAACATAGCCCTACTATTGTTATCTTTGGATTCACAATTTTGATCATGAATAACTGTGTATCCTCCTTGGCCATTTTATCTAAAGACTTGCATGTATAAGTGTTTCTTGTTGTTGTAGGTGAACTCAGTGGTCAAGTTGTTGAAATTCATCAAAATGCCCCCAAAATTAGCAGTCATTGCACCCTATCACATGTCCCTAAGTTGAGCAGTAAAAAGTCAACCTATAAGGTAGTCCCCTGTAGCAATCATGTGAGATTTTTGCATACCTCAATAGCTCGCACAATGCTTCACTTGCTGACAGAAGTGTCACTTCCCAAGTTACATAGCCAAACCACACTTTCCAAGTTATGTTACCTTTTCTTTTGAAAGTGAATTTGTTTAATTTTTAAGTTAAATTAGATTACATTGATTTAATATTTTGAACAAAAAAATAAATATTCAAAAACTAAACGAAAAGTACTATAAATTGCAATAACTTGCATATCAATACGATGAGAAATATATATGTCAAAGTTTTGTATAGTTTTTTACTTTGAAAAAAAAAACTATGACAATCAAAAGTGAATGGGGGAGCACATTACTAGTAGAATTGGCAAGGACTAAATATGCTAATTATAATAAACAGTAACGACTGAATTAGATATGACCTAGACTTAAAGAGTATTAACTTAACAAAACAAACATGATAAAAACACATAATCATTTTAACACACTACTTGAAACCTATTGAGCTTAAGGAACTTCCACTTCAAGCACAACAATCCCTCCTTTATTTCTAGTCGCATCAATTTCATCCAATCTCTTTTGTCTTTTCAAATAAATTATGTTGCTCATGATTTTAACAATTTTATCCAGGGTGTGATACGGATACTCGACTAGTAACGGACATATAATTGCAAAAATAAAGACTGATTTTTTATTTATATATTTCAATTTCTTAGTTTATATTTTTTGGTTCATGGTTTAATCTTTTACGACGTCAAATTTTTAATTTAAAAGAGTTCGAAAAATTTGAAATTCTTGAATGAAAATCGGCTTTGGTAGCTCCAAAAATAAGTCTACAAATATAGCATGAAATAGTGTTGTCACTTGTCATATCAATTTTATCAACATATTGTAGCCGTGTGAAAATATTTTTTACAGATGACAAATGTTATGTCAATGTCAATCCTTTATATTTGACGTATAATTAAGGGCAAAAAAACATAAGTACAAAATAAGCACTTTAATAATGATTATATAACAATAGTTTCAATCCTTATGTAATTTTTGATTGAATTGAGGTATATATATTGAAAGTTTTAAATAATAATTTTTTTAAAATTGGTGATTAGTTCAAATTGGTGTATTTCATATAAAAAGTAATAATCAAATTGTTATATTATCTTAATAGTTATAACCATTTTATATAGTGAAATGGTTAGCGTTTTTCTATCCATACATCCTACAGTATAAACCATTCTGTTAGCGTGTATATATATATATATATATATATATATATATATATATATATTGATGGTGGTGTAGTAATTGTATGGTAGATACTGAGCTTCTTTTCTTTTTTTTGGTAGATGTGTTGGTGTATTTGACATATTTGAGATAATTTATAAACACCAAATTTGTTTGGTGTATAGGTATGCGTTTGTGGTATATGTAGTTGTTAAATAACTTGGTAATTTGTATGTTTTGTAGTTTTTGGTCGGTTTAATATATATGCATTGATACATAAAAACAAGGAAAAATTACATAAATTGATACATTTTAATAAATAATTATTGATTTTAGCGATACTTTTTATTTATTACCATTTGTAGCAACTTTTTTAATTTTTTTCCTTTTTTCTGTCTCACTCTTTCTTTGTTTTTTTTTCTTTCTTTCTTCTTTTCTATGTTTCGCTTCTTTTTTTTCTTTCTTTCTCTTTTCTCTGTCTCACTCCCTCTATTTTTTTCCATCCCTTTCTTTCTTTCATTCTTCCTACTTTCTTTCTGTTGTCTTTTCTTTCTTGCTTTTTTATTGTTGCTCTGTCTCCTTTTACTATTGTTCTTTTTTCCTTTTTCCATATAATAATTAATTATTCTATTGTTCTTTTTTCCTTTTTCTATATAATAATTAATTATTCTATTGTTCTTTTT